TTAATGATTTACATTTTACATTTTCATATATGCATCACACACATTATTCAAAGTTTTTTTCTTTATTTTTCAACTGCGGAAAAGCAATCACTTCCTTAATACTATTTTGACCGGTAAGTAGCATTATCAACCTATCTATCCCAATTCCTAATCCCCCTGCCGGCGGCATACCATATTCTAATGCTTCCAAAAATTCCTTATCAAAACTAGCAATTTCTTCATTCCCTAATTCTTTTTGTTTGCTTTGCTCTTCAAACCTTTTTTTTTGTTCTGTAGGGTCATTTAACTCGCTATAACCATTAGCGAATTCTAGTCCGCCAATGTAAAGTTCGAATCGGTCAGCAATTTCTTCATTCTCCGGCTTGCTTTTAGCCAAGGGTGAAACTTCTACTGGATAATCATAAATAAAAGTGGGTTGAATTAAATTTTTTTCCACAAATTTCTCAAAAAAGGCCAAGATAACATGCCCGACGGTTTTTTGAAATTTCTCTAATTTTAAATTAAATTTTTGAGCCAGTTGACAGGCTTCTTCCAAACCATTTATTTTGGCAAAATCTATGTTGATATGTTCTTTAATCGCTTCGATCATTGATAGCCTGCGAAAGGGTTTTTGGAGAGAAATATTGTGAGAATTAAAGGTAAATTTTTCCTTTTCAAAAACTTTTTCGGCTAAATAGTGAAATAATTCCTCAGTCAAATTCATCATATATTCCGCATTTTCGTAAGCCTGATAAACCTCAATAGTAGTAAATTCGGGATTATGACGAGCATCAATACCTTCATTACGAAATATGCGACCGATTTCATAAATTTTTTCAAAACCACCTACCAGCAACTTTTTGAGGGGTATTTCAGTGGCAATTCGCAAATAAAAATCTCGGTGTAATTTGTTGTGGTGAGTAATGAAAGGCTTGGCTTGTGCTCCGGAAGCTTCTGAAACCAGAATAGGAGTTTCAATTTCAATGAATTTTTTTTCCTCTAAAAACTGGCGAATATTTTTGATTACCTGGTGGCGAAGGAAAAAAATCTCTTTCTTTTGCTTATTAACAATAAAATCTAAAGGTCGGTTGCGAAATCTTTCCTCGGTATCACTAAGGCCGTAGTAGGAACTGGGAATAGGTCTTAAACATTTGCTTAATAAACTAAATTCTTCTACTTCCACACTTAACTTTCGCTCATTTTTTTTTTCTTGCGTGTCAGTTCTACAAACAATTCCTCTTACAACGCCAATAATATCTCCGTTGTCTAACTCCGCAAATTTTTTGTTTTCGCTGCTAAATTTTAATTGAATGGTTTCACTTTGGTCGGTTAAATCAGCAAAAAACATTCTTTTTCCGGTCATTCTCCCCGCAATACTTACTTCTTGGTTTTTTTTCATTAATTCTTCCTTGCTAAATTGTGAAAACAATTTAATAATAGTTTGAATGTCGCTGGTCCTCGTAAATCTTGTTTGTTGGAAAGGAAATTTTTCGGCTTCTAGTAAATTCATTTTTACTAACTATTTATTTACTCTTCTGACTAACCAGTGAAGAAAATGAAAATTGGAAACTTTAAGAAGTTGTTAACAAAAAGCAAAGATAATTTTCTAACAGATTTTTAATTCCTTTCCACAATACTCTGTGTATTCATCAATAAAGCCTTTAAATCTCTGTAAGTTATCATCACTATTAATTATTGGAAATTGTCAGTCTTCTGTTCCATTGTGCGACTTTTCGGTGTAATCTATTTGATACTTGTCTAGTAAGTTTGCTAGTCTGTCAGAAATTACTCGTAGCTTTTCAAAATTTCAATAAATATTGATTTGCGAGATCTTGATGACTACTGAACAAAGAACTTTCTTTCCATTCAAGGGGCGTTCAAAATTGTAATTAACGATCGGATAATGGTTTTTGGGAATATTAATTTTGCTAGTTATAGTTCTGATTTGAGTTAAAGGTTGTTTATTTCTTCCAGTCATTTTTTTACGTGGGAACTGGGTCAGTCCATATTTTTGATATGAGAAATGTCAGAAATAGTGTTATCGGATTCTAGTGAAACCAATTTCCTCTCGCTTAAATTAACCCCCAATCAACTTATTAAATCCTCACAATCAATATACAGAATATCATCCTTGAAGAGTTTTACTAGCACAAACAAAACATTATCTTCACGAGAACCATCCGTTAGTATTTACTCATATTCGCCGATTTCGGTAGTAATACAAATAGTTTTTGTTTTGTTTCAATTATCAAAATCATCCCACTTTTCTCTTCCCGTAAATTTTTTTAGTTTTTCATTTTTATTACAGAGTTCTATTATATTTTTTCTATTTTTGTAAGTTGTTCCATATTTGTCATTTGTCAAACTTTCGAGGTAAGTTTTGGCCTGAATAAACAAAGAAAGAGATTTTTCTGCTTTGTATTTAATAATAACAAAGAAATTCCCTACTTTATTAAAAAATAACGCATCAATTCTTCGTGGTTTTCCTTGATAATCTTTCATTGATAACTCGTTTTTCAAATGCACTAAACCAGAGAAAATTTTTTCTAGGTTTTCTCCAAAGAGATTTTGTATATACTTTTCTCCTTTTCCCTCAACTCGTAATTTCGCCTCCTTTAATCTTTCTAGCGGGTTATTCTTATCTACTTTATACAAAAGCATTTTTGGTTCTTGTTGCTCCTTATCACTCATGATGTTTGTAGTTTTATAATTGATTTATCACTAGTTTTTATCATTTTTAGCAAAAATTTTTCTCATTGATTATTAACTCATTAAGCTTTCCAATTTGGACTCTTGTGGCCTTATTACAAGACTATTTTACAACTACTTTTTGGCAGCTACTTACTGGTAAATTAAAGGATATTTTTCGGCCCAGAAAGTCAAGGTCAACTTTGACTTGGGACCTGTTGGCGTTTACGTGAGTAATTCTTCCTTCTTGATTAGCAAAACTCCCCTCGGTAATTAGGACTAAATCACCAATATTTAATAGTGCGGGAGAAGAGGGAATGGGAATTCCTTTGGTGAGTTGAGAGAAGAAATTATTAACTGTCTCGGCTGAAACATGGTCGGGTAAGCGAATTTCATTTTTTTTATGATTCAAGAAACTAATTACCCCGCTAATTTTGTTTAGGAATTTGACTAATTTTGGGGTTAAGCGTAAATAACAAAAAACGTAACTTTTCATTATTTTCGGGGCAGATTTTAATTCCTTAACCTCTTCTTTTGCTCAGTGGTTAACTTCTTTTACTAACTCTGATTTAATGTTGGCGATTATTTTTTCTTCCTTGCCTCCCCGGACATAAAGTATATACCAATGATAATTCTCCATGCTATATTTATTTTTTTAGACAGCAACCTCTACTTCTCGCATAAATATTTCTTTAATTTTCTTTTTCGGTATTTTTCTACTCATTTTCGTATTTTTCTCTAGTTTTTATTAAGCAAAAAATTTCATTCAGCCACCAATTTTCCGCAATTTTCTTATTAAGTAAAAATTATTTCAAAATTCTCTTTTGGAGAAAAAGTGTATAATATATAATAAATAATAAAAATTATAGTTATGAATAAACTAATAACATTTTGACAAACCATCCAATTAATTGGGGCTCTGCGGTTGTTTAGTCCCTCCCTAATCCGGTCCGTTAATCCCGAGACTTATACTTTTTATTGTGAGTATAGCGAGGAGGAAGTAGAAGTAAATATTAAATTCATTATTCATACGCTACGCTAACATTTCATCATGATCACCTTTATCTGTCGGAAAACATATAAGATTTTGTGAGGATTCTAATTGTAGTTGTATCAAAAAAATAGAAGAAATACTAATTAGAAATCCGTTTGGAGGCAAACTCACCAACTTGGACCCACTGTCCAGATTGTTCTGAAACTTCCCTGTTACAGATGTTTATTGTGCAATAACTTATTTGAACACTACTCATAATGCTCTTTGTGATAACTTAAAATCAATGGAGGAAGAATTAAAACTAAAATGAGAATTAGAACAAGAAAATAACGAATTGAATGATACGAGAAATGACTTGGAAGAAGAACGCGAGAATCATCTTGCGGGGGTAGGTGCTGCTACCGATTGATACCAACGCATAATAAGACAAAAAGATGCCGAAATTCGACAACTAAAACGTGAATTGTGTCAAGCGACTGGTTGTCGTCGCTACCCAAACTGCCCGCACGGACAATAAAAATGGTAAAAAAATGTCATGAAAATAGAATTAATAGGAAGAACTTTTCGCAGAGGTTTTCCAAATACGTGAAAATATCTAATTACTGATAATTATCGTCAAATAGAACATAGAATTTCCGAACCACCTTTTCCGTCCTGAGTAGAAGAAAATGAAATCATACAAGAGTATAGGGAAGAGGAAGATTGGTATAGGGTTTACGCTTTTGAAATAGGCGGAGGTTTGACAATTAGACATACTCCTAACGAGATAGCCCTAGAAATTTACCGGAGTTATCAATTCGGTGTTCTCCGGAGAGAAAACAAGATAGCAGGTCTAGAAGAAGTTGACTACCAGCCAAACGAAGAAGAATTGCGAAGATTAAAAAGAGAAATGGATGCTAAGATGCGAGAAATAATAGCGGAAGAAACTTGGCAAGGCAGTTTGGAAGTGATAAGAGATTTGTTTAAAGAAAACCAAGAAACGGGAGAAGAAATCTCAACAACAGCAGACCGCACAGACGATATCAACGATACAACTGGAAATAACAATTTTGGGTCTAATTGCTTGACCAAAAAAATTTGCGGTCTTCTAGTTTTGTTAATATCTTTCAGTGGATTGTCAATTTTTCTAGTAAAAAAGCAGCGGTGGGGAAAAAAACCAACCCCTCACCGAAAACTAAAATTTTAGAAAAACTAAAAACCCCCAAACATCTAAGAATTGCAGTAAATAGAAATAGGACAGTAATAAATGTAACAATAATAAGAAATACAAAAATAATAATATGTCAAGGTATCTGGGTCCTTTACAAAAAAAATTACGAGCCCGAGAAGGAGGAAAAACTATTCCCTCCGGTGTTCATAAGGGAAAGAGAAAAAGAGTGTCTATTTTCGGCTCGCAGTTGCAAGGAAAACAAATAATTAAGGATAATTACTGATTACGAGATTATCAGTTGCGAAACGAGTATATAAAAGCCAAGAGCAAGTCAGGTGATACGGGAACTAACCTTTTAGCCAGTCTCGAATCACGTCTTGATAACATTATTTTTCGTTCCGGACTGGCTAACACCTTGCGTTTTGCTCGTCAGTTAGTTAGTCATGCCCATTTTTTAGTGGACGGAAAAAAAGTAAAAACCTGTTCTTATAAAGTGAAGGCTGGCCAAGTCATTAGTTTAAGAAAACAAAGATTAGCTACTAATAAACTTATTAAAAACAACTTGGAACAAAATACTAAAATTCCTCTGTATCTAAATGTTGACAAGCAAAAAATAGTAATTAACTGCTTGCGAGAACCTACGGCGGAAGAATTAAGTTCTTTGGGTCTTGACACTTCCTTATTAATTGAGTGATATAGCAAAAGAGTATAAATTTTGGCAATTATAACGAAATTACCCTAAAAAAAATTTGACCGGTCGGCTTGGCCTTTGGGTAAAATTATATTACTCTGCTAATAATTAATATCAGTTAATCATTCCCTTTAATCCCTAGTAATAAAAATACTCTGACCTTATATTCTCTTGTAATGCAATTTAAATACAATAATAAAAACATAAAAAATTAGACTGACCTTAAGTTTGCATATCGTAATAAGTCTGGAAATCTTAACAAGAAGACTTGGCTAGACGAAGAGTTAAATTGTGAACTACCCACCACCTATAGAGGTGGGGGCTTCTAACAACTCAGAAATTATTTCTCAATTCTACACAGCGCCCAT